TAAGTGAGTCTGTAGTCCATTTTTAGTCCTCAATTCCTATGCAGGCCTGGACGCAGTGATCTCGGCATCTTTACCCTGCCACCATCTTCTGGAAGTCTCAATGCAGTCAAGACAATTTTTACTTATCAAAACTGGGGGAGGAGGTGTGGACTTCACCCTTGAACTTAATTAATAGTAAAACCAGAGATTTCTGAATTTTATAATGAACAGGAAAACCTTGACAGCAAAGAATTATCTGGTGCATGGTGCCAACACTAATAATGCTGAAAGACCTTGTGCAAGAGGGAGGGATGAGTCACCCAGGGCTTCCAATGGTTTCCCTTTTCATTGTGCCAGATGTTATATCATTGTCCTATAGATGCTAATATATTTCAGTGTTCTTTCTCCTTATGGTTGGTTTCCTCACAGGTGTAAACTTGTTCCTAGTTGCTGTTCATGAGATTGGTCATTCCTTGGGTCTTTACCACTCCAGAGACCGAAAGGCCATAATGTTCCCCACAGTTAGTTATGTTAACCCCACTACATTTCGCCTGTCTGCTGATGACATACGTGGCATCCAGTCTCTCTATGGTGAGTTAAATTTCTCAAATCATTTTGCTTATGAAGATACCTGATCATGAATGGTCTCACAATCTCTACATTTGAGTGAAATGCCAACATCTACTCTGTGAGATAGGTAGGACAGATAAAATTTTCATTTTACAGATAAACACATGATGTCTAGTATGCTAATGACAGTACCAAAGGCAGAACCTGAGTCTTCTTTTTGACCAACATACCACTGCCTGCCGAAGAAGGCATGCAAAGAAATAACCTAACTGAGGCAGGAAAACACAGCGATCAGAGTTTTCTCCTCTGTGACATTACAACCACCCTGGGAAAACATCTTTATTGTATGCTTCCTGTGAATAAAGTTTAAGAGCTTACATTTTTCATGTATTTTTCATCAAGAAAACTGAATGCTTAAAAAAGAATAGTTTTTCCTCTTACTTTTTTTTTATAATGCTTCTTAAAATATATTTTCAGGAGGGCCAAATACAGACCCAGATACCTGTGACCCCAGTTTCGATGCTGTCACTACAGTGGATGATAAAATCTTTTTCTTTAAAGACAGGTAGGATAATTTTTTATATCTAATAAACAGTAAAGACTGACAAATATTTTTTATTAAAGCATTGTGGAAAACAATGGAAAGTAAATCAAATATAACTTGTGTAGGGACTTGTGCTTGATTCTGACGGCAGTTGATAAATATTTATATTTTGAAGCAGGAGTTTATTATCATTATGTTGTGTTTTAACTTAAAAAATGGCATGTTAAAAATGGATTTTTGCAAAATTAACATCACAAAGTATAGAGCCAATGGAAGTGAGCAGGTTTCTTACTCTCCTGCTACTAGCATCTATGATCAACACCTGTGGTCTTGCATGCATGACTGATGCCTGCATCTGGAGCATGGTGTGGGTAAAGGGCACACCTGAGCCAAGATTCAATCACAGCAGAGGACCCTGCAGCAGAGTACAGTGGAAAGACCAAGGAGCCATAGCTACCAGAAGCCCAGATGAGTGAAAATTCACCAGAGACTGTGAGGCCTGTTAGCCTCCCTACTGCTGCCTGCACTGCACCTGGCCACCTTCTAAAAATGCTATAAAAAGATCATTTTTCAAAAAATGTATTTTTGGTAGCAATCTGGATTGGAGAAAGATAACACAGGAAGCAGAGGAGCCAGAGAATTTTAATCATACATAAAAAAATTAGTGAAGTGTGGGATTCAAGCTGTAACAATACTTATTTTAAAAACTTGTTAATTTTATAGAGAAGAGAACTCTAGAATGATCTGTTGTTTAAAAATATTTATTGGTCTAGGCCAGAGGTGCGGGAATTGAGAGGATTCACCAGAGACAGAATGAGGAGCAGAACAGGTTGATCTACTGAAAAACACTGCTAAGGGGAGCAGCTGCTGAGACAGGAGAGGTCTGCTGCACCTGCTGCACCATATGTGGATTAGCTCTATGGTTGGGGATCAAACTCAAGGTGTAGTGGGGTAGTGCTCAGATTTAACCCCGAGGCCACCAACGAGGCCCAGTTTCTGTCTCTGAATACAGGTTGAAGCAAATGTTGGAGAACCTTACTGTTTAGTGGGTAGGCAAACATTCTCTATTTTTGAGATTATAAACCGAGATAGTTGAGAGTGAGTAATTTAAGATTACAAAACTGGCAAATGGATTGTGAGACTTAACTAAAACCTAAATCTCTACCCCAAACTCCAGCAATTTCCTTATGTCATTTGTTTGTTGAAATCATTGTTAGTAGCAAGGACTCATAGAATTCTTTCATCGTGGGATGGTCCTACAGACAACCAGAGAACAGGAGGTGAAGTTGATGTAAAGAAACATCAGTCATTTCACAGGTTCTTTCCACTCACGTTTCATGGTTCCTGAGTCTACAATTTTTGAAAATGTTTTATGTTTTCTTTTTCTGTCAGGTTCTTCTGGTGGAAGTTTCCTAAGGGTCCATGGAGCAATGCTAGCTTAATTTCTTCTTTATGGCCAACGTTACCATCAGGCATTCAAGCTGCTTATGAAACTGGAAACAAAAAGGACGTTTTTCTTTTTAAAGGTAATTTGTCGTTAATTTTGCAACAGAGCTAACCTTTAGGAAGAGAACAAAGTAAGGAAATATTACTTCTTTTCTAAATATGGACCACTAAGCACTCCCAATTTCATTAATGGTGGCTTTGAGGTATAAAATCCTAGGTAACGCATGCACGTTAGGGGAAAGTCTGTGAATATAAGAGGGTAATACTTAAAAAACCAAAAAACACAGGGAACCATAGCAGATGGACCATTTTTAAAAAATAGGAAAGAGTTACAATTTGGAAATACATAAAAGAATGGAGTTGTCTGCAAGTCAGTATCTCTCTATTTCTGTGGGATTTCAATGTATCCTTTTTCTTTGTCTTCACAGGTGATAAGTACTGGTTGGTCAGCAATTTAAGACCACAGTCAAACTACCCCAAGAGCATACGTTCTTTGGGCTTCCCTGACTTTGTAAAAAAAATTGATGCAGCTGTTTTTAACCCACATTTAAAAAAGACCTACTTCTTTGCAGATAACCAATATTGGAGGTGAGTTTTAATGGTTGGTAATTTGATTTGATTCTGAAGGTTTATAAAATAGGAAGGGAATAAGGTTTCCAGAAGCTAGTGTTTCCATGCAAATTTCCAAACTTCCATAACCTTTCTGGGAAGAGGATCCAAAGTATATAGGACTGGAATATTTATCACCAACTTAATTCTTTTCTCTATACTTTTTTTTCTTATATGAGATAACAAATAATGTGCTTTTTAAAGGAATATTTTAAATAAAATGTCACATTAATTACAGTAGAAACATGTTAGAAGATCATGTTATAGATGTATAAAACTTAGTATTTACAGTCAATTTGAAGCAGGTAAAGATTTTCAAGGTTCTTCCCATAACCACTGAGCCTACAAAGAAAAAAATGGGGAAACCATTACCTGGCAATAGCCCATCCTGCAAGATCTTCACTAACAGTAAGTTAGACAGTGAGACTCTATAAAGCAGGTCTGGGCAGAAGTGCTTGAACAGAAGTCAGGAAGTCTAGAGTTTGAGTCCTATAGGGACATGGAGTAAGTCTAGGTTCTTGGTCTGCCTATTACTGTCTTTGAATCATTTCAAGAATAGCTTTTCAGGAAGTAATAAGGTGGGTTTTGTGGTTCAGGTCAAGAAATGTCAAGCTTTATGTCATGAAATTAATTTTCTGTCTGAATTCCTACTGGTTGTTTCTTTTCTCAGGTATGATGAGAGAAGACAGATCATGGACCCTAATTATCCCAAATTAATTATCACAAACTTTCCAGGAATTGGACCTAAAATTGATGCCGTCTACTATTATAATAGTAAGTAGATTTGGAAACCATGAATATACTGCAAGTCCCTTCAAAAACTGAAGTAATTATAATACATTCAAGACCAAAGATTAGGGCTATAAATTATGCAAGAAAAGGGCTCTTACTCTCTCCATATGGCCACAGAGGGGAAAACATAGTAATGTATGCTTTAGACTAGGCAGGTGAGAAGAATGAACTATGTGGCATCTACTGTACTCTGAGGATGGTCTGGTAAACCCAAATGCCATTTCTATGGGTCTGAATGTTGCAATCTCCAATTACATCAGTACGCACGTGTGTATGAATATATGGCAGCCAGGCTTCAGGCAAACTGGAGTCTGTTCTACCATTTTATTATCTTGTATTCTTTACCTTCCTTTCAGCCCCCTCACTCTTTGTGGACTTTTATGGATGAGGCTGGGGGGAGGGCATGAGAAGAGAGGGAGAAGATGAGAGAAGCTTGAGTATGTTAACAGTTTGTGTTTGGGGATGTCTTTAAGCAAGGTCAGCCCATGTACAAATGTTCACTAAGTCCAGATAATTTATTTCCAACCGTGTGTGTCTTTTTAGCTCCTCCTGTGAGGTTTGGATCCCTACTCTGAGTTTGCTACCTGTGTAGGACATTCCAAAAACATTTGAATCTTAATAGCTCAAATCATTTAAGACCAAACAATCTTCTCAAGAAAAGTAGGATGATATTTAATGGTGAAATGACTGGCAACAAGCAAGGGCAGGACACCTAGCCAAAGAACTAAACACTTATATTCTCAAATAAGATCTTGCTTAGTCTAGATCATCTATAAAAATATAGATCTCTGTTATTATATATATACACACATAATATATAATATACATAGTACATATTATATATAATATATAATATAAATAATATAATATATACATATATACATAATATATAATCATGTATAACATATGTAATATATTACATATATAATATACATAACATATAATCATGTACATTGTAATATACATAATATATGCAATATATATATTACATATATAACATACATATTATGTATATATTATATATTGGAATATATTATACATATTGCAATATATAATTTAATATTTAATAATATATATCATAACATATAATAATGTATATTATAATATATATTATATGTATATATGTATAATATATGTATATATACAATATATGATTTAATATATTATGATATATTAGATTATATTACAATATGTATAATATATTCCAATATATAATATATACATAATATATGCTATATATATTATATATGTAATATATATTGTATATTATGTATATTACAATATACATGATTATATATTATGATATATATGAAATTATATATTACAATATGTATAATATATTCCAATATATAATATATACATAATATGTTATGCATATTATATATGTAATATATATTGCATATATTATGTATATTATAATGTACATAATGTGTCACCAAAGTGCATGAGCTTGGTTGTTAGTGATTTAATGAATATGTATTACATATATAATATACATAATAATATATATTATATATATATTATGTATATATAACAGATCTATATTATCATTATATATTATCTTTATTATTATATTATGCATATGTCTTATATATATTATATATATTATGTATGTATATATATATATATAAAACAGAGATCTGTATTTATATATTACATCTTTTTTCATTTTGTACATTTTTTTCATCTCAGCTGTAATCCCCATGGACCCACCACCATTTCACCCGTTTGCTATCACCATAGTCCCATATGCTCTTCCCACCCCTTTTGAACCTGTTCCCCTCCCCCCTCATAGAATATCACTGGTTTATAGTTGTTAGTTGATGCTTTGTTTTTACTTCATTACAATTATTTTTTTTTTCCTGATCCCTTACACTCCTGCTATGAGTGTATTTTTCTTTTTCTTCCTGAATTATTATTATTTCTTTCTGGATTATTATTATTTATGTCATTCTTCATTTGGTGCATTTTTTCATCAGTTGTAATTCCCATGGGCTTCCCACCACCAATCTGCTTGTGTGCCATTACCACAGTCCAGTGCACTCCTCCCACCCCAGTTCCAATCCTATTCCCCTTTCTACCCCCATAAAATATCTCTGATTTATAGTTTTTCATTGATTCAGCTCCATCCATGTTGCCACAAATGGCATGAGTTTATTTTTTGATTGCTGAGTAATATTCCATTACATATATGTACCACAACTTCTTGATCCAGTTATCTATTTTGGGGCATCTGGGTTGGTTCTATATCTTCCCTATTGTAAACAGGGAAGCAAGCAATAAACATAGGGTTACAGGTATCCTTTCGAAATAATGTTTTTATGTCCTTTGGGTAGATACCTAGCAGTGGAATTGCTGAACCATATGGAAGCTCCATTTTTAGCAGCTTGAGAAACCTCCAAACAGCTTTCTATAGTGGTTGGACCAATTACATTCCCACTAACAGTGTAGGAGAGTTCCTTTTTCTCCACATTCTTGCCAACATTTGTTGTTGCTTGTTTTTTGCCATTCTCACTGGTATGATATAGAATCTTGATCTCTATTATTTAAAAAAAAACATACAAGTGTAGAATTAAACTGTTTAATTTGCTTTCATTTTCAGGACACTATTATTTCTTTCAAGGATCTAAACATGTTGAATATGATGCCCATCATAATCGTGTCATCAAAATCCATGAGATGAGGTGTAAATGATTTAATGAATGGTGTTTTTGTCAACTCACTTTGGTTTAATAAGTATATATGCTGACTTGATGTGTGCCTAATGTACCTTCACATAGCAGTATATATCATAAAATAAAACAACGCTACAGGTCATTGGTAACTGATTATAAAAATAAGTTATTATATAAAATATAAGATTTGTCAAATTTTTAAAACTCTTACTTTACTCTGCTATTAAGTTTGAAAACAGACACCTTAAAGACCAAGAGAATATTTTGATTTCTAATGTCAACTTGAGATATTATATCATTATTTCTCTTAGCTACAAATGAAATAATTCCACAAACGTTAAATGTTTTAGCAAGAGTATCAATTTATTTCTTTTTGGGGTAAAAAAAATCTTTCTAGAGCTTTAAAAATGACCAAAAAAGAAATTATGAGTAAACTATATAATTTTAATAATGTAATTTTATCCTTTTGTGCTGATTCCCTAACATCTTATGTAAAGAAAGAAAATTTTGAAAAAATGTATTTGGCTTTTAAGAGTTTGGTTTTAAGGTTGCCTGTAAATAAAAAAAATCAATAGAGAATTATAGAATTGTAATTCAGCTAACTTTCTTCAAGTCCTTGAGTTTTCCAAGGAAATCTGTATTATCTGTAGCTGAATATTTATGCTCTTCATTTCAATCATGTCAAGAAGAATAATATACAAGAGCACTAGCACAGAGAAAGGTGCTGGTACAGAGAATGGCACTGGTTTAAGAGTTTAAATTAGAGTTTGTAAGCAGAGTGAAGAACAAAGCAAATGAACTACAAAGCCAAAACAAACACTTGGGATTATGACAGAAGAATTTATTTTCTTCAAAGTGGGGTGTGAAGGGCAAAGAGGTACTGATGGACTGTAGTGGAGGGTCACTGGTAATCTGTTGGTTTGTAATGTACATTTAAGAAAGCAGCATGAACCTAAACCCTTAAAACATAGCGATGTAAATCAATGTTACTTCAAAAAATAAATGAAATAAAACCATCAAAATAACGAATGTTTTTCTGAAAAAAGGGGTTATATAGTTTGAAAATAACCCTGGACCACTCCTAAATAAAACTAAGGTGTAAAGAGAAACATGGCTAGTGGAAAAGTAAAAGATAATCATATGTTTTGACCACCCCCTAAAGTGACCTGAATTCTTGGTCTGAAGTCAAGGAAGCACTGTCCAGACTACACACAACCCTGACAGAACCTACAGCAGATGACCACCATCCTAGAGGGAAGGAGGTATGAAATGAGGCATCATACAGAGCCGAGATGCCAGGAGTCCATTTGAGTCTTGCTCCCTGTGCTTAGATTTTGATTGGACAATATTTGCACCATCTGTACAACCTCACTGAGTTTATGGGATTAAATATGTTAAGTTTGGGGTAACCATTTTTCTCATCTGTGAAATGGAGTTTCTAATCTTTAGCTTGAATAGAGGGTGTAAAAATTAGTCCTTCTATGTAAAATAGTAAAAGATCACTGTGTAATGATTTTCTCCTTTCCTACTGGACAACTCTGAATATATATTTGTTTGACCACATTATACATTTTTAAGAAAACTGAGAGGCATTAGTTGCTAAAACTATGTAAGATAACAAAAGTTCAGGCCCTGATAGCATTCTTCTGACAACATTTAATGTATGCAATACAACATACAGTAAGCTCCGTTGGGGTTGTGTGAATTACTTCTGCCTTGTACACACACACACACATATATATATATATATATATATATATATATCTCCAACCTTAATTTTAATTATTACTACAACACAGCACTTCATTCTTTCATTCTTAAATTATGTGCCCATCCAGGACATGGTGATGGCACAGGGGTGAACTGGTGGTAGGAAGCCCATGGGGATTACAACTGAGATGAAAAAATGTACAAGGTGAAGAATGATGTAAAAAATATATATCAGGGCCCTCCCTGGTGGTGCAGCAGGTTAGAGCACAGCACTGAGAGGCTAAGGCCACTTTAGCATGAATTCGATCCATACCCTGGGAGTGACCCACACAGTGTGGCAGACATCTCCTGACCCACCCGCTGCTTCCCTCAGCAGTGTACTTCATTAGTCGGCCTGTTCTGCTCCCTACTCTCTCTGTGGTGAAGCCTCTAACTGCCCCTGTGCTGCTGGCCTGTACCCCAGTTCTGTATGCATGAATAAATAAATCTTTTTTAAAAAGAAAAAGAAAAAGAAAAACACATTTTCAAGAAGTGGTCTTTAAAAAAAGGACTATATGTGTGTGTATATATAACATATATACATATATCACTTTTATATAAAAATTTTTAAATAAACTACAAAAAAAAAGTCATGTGCCCATCCAAAAGATGGGTCAATAGTAACACATTATGACTCGAAAAAAAGATGAGCAGTCTCAGTGCAGAACTCAGCATAGGACCACTACCACAGACTTGTGAGAGAAATGGACATTACTGGTGATGATGTGAGAAAAATGTGAAGAAACCCAACCCCAGAAACCTAAACTCCAGAATAATGTGAATAGCAAAAGAAGTAGTCATTCAGCCAAGCGTTAATATCCTAAACTTTCATCTACTACAGAAATTTAAAAAGGACACAAGCAGTTTTTCCAGTGAGAGAGTGAATCTATAAAAGGACAATGACTAACCATAGATAAGAGTACAGCCTACTCAGGACACCAATCCCCTTATCTTCAATGAATAACCAGGAAGCCAGCTAGCCAGCCCTAAGTTGGACTTGCAGAAAGCTCAGTTATTAATTATAGTGACAATTTAGGAAGCTAAGCAATAATTTCTATGACAGTGAGCATGAAATGGTCAGAGCTTTATTAATAACAAACAGAACCTTTAATGTTTGACCTGTTTTGATCAGAACCAGTGCCAATCAGAAAAAAGCTAGCATGGGCCTTTAGCCAATAACAGATAAAAATGATGACCAAATAGAAAAAAAACGAATATACACCTCCAGCCAGTAGCACAGTATGCCTTGTTTCTAGATAACCCACCTACAGATCCCCATGCTAACAGCACAATCAGAATAACCTTCCCTATTTCCAGTTTAAAGTTTCCCACTCCTGGGCCCTCCTTGGTGGCACAGCGGGTTAAAGCACAGCACTGAGATGCTAAAGCCACTTCAGCATGAGTTGGATTCCCCACCCGCCCCACATGGCGCGCAGACCTCTCCTGACCCACCTGCTGCTCCCCTCAGCAGTGTACTTCAACAATCTGCCTGTTCTGCTCCCCACTCTGTCTCTAGTGAATCCTCTCACCGCCCCCACACCTCTGGCCTGTACCCCATTCTGTGTGGATAAATAAATAAATCTTTAAATAAATAAAGTTTCCCATTCCTCTGCCTCCTGGTAAGTCTTAACAAAACAGGGATGCTGACTCTTTTGCTGATATGCCCAGCCCGGAGGAAACTCAGCTATGACTGTTAAGTAGCTGTTTCAATTCTATCCAATTGATAGAACTTCATGCCACACCATACCTTTTGCCTTCCACCTGTCCTTTTTCTGTTTGTAACTCTCTTTACTTTATCAAATTTTTTACTTACATCTATAGTCCTACAGGTTTGCCTTACAGCTCACTTAGATGATTATAGTCCCTAAACTATTTAGCTTTGTTTTCTTCACACTGCAAAAAAGACAGAATTGCTGAGCCATATTTCACTAAGTCAAAACCTGTTCCATGAGAGAAAATAAGAGAATAAGACATATCACAAACTACAGGAAATCACTTGCAAAAAAACACATCTGATAAAGGATTGTTACCCAAAATATACATAGAGCTCTTAAAACTCACATAAGAAAACAAATATCCTATTAAAAAAAAAAATTGTCAAGGTCTTAACAGACACCTCACCAAAGAAGATACATGGGTGACAAATAAGTACATATAAAAGATGCTCTCTGTCACATCTTATCAGGGAAATGCAAGGTAAAAATTACAATGCCACTACTTATCTATCAGGACAGCCAAAGTCCAGACCACTGCCTACACCAAATGCTCGCAAGGATGTGGAATTAGAGCTCTCATTTGCTGATAATGGAAATGCAAAAATGTCAAATCACTTTGGAAGATAATTTCTTGCAAGCATACTCTTACCAAAAGACCCAGCAACCATGCTCCATGATATTTACCCAAAGGACTTGAAAACATCTCTACACAAAAACATATGCATGAGTATTTATCGCAACTTTATTCCTCATTGTCAAAAACTTGGGCAGGGGAGAGTGATTAAAATACCCTCAGTAGGTAAACAGATAAATAAATTGTGACATAGCCAAACAATGCAATCTCATTCAGTTCTAAACAGAAATGAGCTATCAAGTAGAAAAGATATTGAGGAAACTTAAATATGTGTTACTAAGTGAAATAGGTCAGTGAAAAAGTTCCCTACTATATGAGCCCAACTATATGACATTCTGGAAAAGGCAAAAGGATGGAGGCAGTTAAAAAAGATCAGTAATTCCAGGTGATGGGGTGAGAAGAAGCATAAATAGGTGGAGCTAAAAAGATGTTTTAAAGAAATAGAATTACTCGGATGATACCAGAATGATGGGTATATGTCATTAAATGTTTGTCCAAACCCACAGAATTTACAACACCAAGAATGAATTGTAATCTGTGGACTTCAGGGATTATACTGTGTCAATGTAGCTTCATCAATTGTTACAAATGTACCACCTGATGAGGGATGTTGATAAAGGGGGGAGGCTATGAATGCTTGGGATTCAGGGAGTATGTGGTAAATTTCTGTATCTTCCCCTCTAATTTTGCTTTGAACCTACAACTGCTCTAAAATAATACAAGTCTTTTACAAAGTTAAATGTAAAAAAAAAAAAAAAAAATGAAGTGGTCCTAACCCTAAAATCATTGTCTCATGGACAGAATCTATTGAAGGAGAAACTCAAACAAGTTTCAATTTGTACTCCAAAGAAGGTAGAAATTAGAAAATTTTATATACACACACATGCTATACACACATTTATATGTATATCTATATATGTA